GCCCCCCCCCCCCCAGCCAGAGGGACCATGAGGCTGTTCCTGCCTGTGCTGAAGCGGGAACCTTGGGTAAGAGGGGGTTGGGGGGCATGCGGGTCCTCGCCTGGCCACAGGGCTGGGGTGGGGGGCTGGGAGCGAGGGGTGCATGGGAGCCAGTGCTGGTGAGGCCCAGAGCAGGGTGGCTCCCCTCCCTCCCTGATGGGGCAGCCCAGCCCAGCTCCATAGAGCCCAGGCAGTTATGCCCTGGGCTCCTGTCACCCTGCTCTGGGCCCCGCTGGCACTGGGCCCAGGGCACTGCCTGGCTGTTGCTGGCTCCCAACCCCCCTGTCTGGCCCTGTGGGCAGCACGGGGGGTGCCTGGGACTGCTGGGTGTGGCATGACCTGGTGGGGAGGTGTCCCAGGGTGCAGGGAGGTGGCGCGGAACTTCCATCCCATGCCTGAGGCTTGGGGCAGCAACAGTCCAGCTGCCCCCCCCTCCCCCCACAGGAGGCTCCAGTGGGTGCTGCCGCCCCAGGGGAAAACGCCCTCCCAGCCCCACAGGGGCCCAACTGCATCTGACTCCCTGGCCCCAGGGTTGGCTGGGTGGCTGCGCCAGAAGCAGATCCAGAAGTTCCTGCAGCTGTGAGGAGCCATGGGGCCCTGGGAAGCTCCTGGCCAGCCCCGGGGGCAGCATGGGTCACTTCCCAAGGCTGCTGGGTGTGGCATGACCTGGCAGGATCCCGGCCTGGGGCGCGGGTAGCTCGGGGAGGCCGCAGGAACTTTCGGAGGAAAAAAACAGCTGCAGCTCCGCTCCAGCTCCTGGCGCAGCCTCCTGCCCATCCTGGGACTGGGGGGGGGGGAGCAAGCTGCTGCCAGGCTGCTGGACCCCTGTGGGGTGGGGGCAGCCGGACCTTCCCCCCAGGGTGGCGGCACCTGCTGGGGACGCCCATGGGGACAGCAGCCAGGCCATTGCCATCCCAAGCCTCAGGTGCAGGATGCAATTTCCACGCCGCATCCTTGGACTTTCTGGGCCACGTGCCACCCCAGCAGCCTTAAGTGGCCCTCCACACTGCCCCCAGGGCCAGTCAGGAGCTTCCCTGGGGCCCCCAGCCTCCTGGAAGCTGCAGGAGCTTGAAAAGCAGCCATGGGTCTGCTCTGGCTCCTGGCACAGCCTCCCTGCCTGTCCCAGGGCCGGGGGGGGCAAGGTACTGTCAGGCCGCCAGGCCCCTGTGGGGTGGGGGGGCTGGGCAATCCCCCTGGGGTGGTGGCAACCCTTGGGCCGCCCGTGGGGATGCAACCAAGCCTTTGCTACCCCAGGCCTCAGACACACAATGCAAGTTCTGCACCACCTCCTTCAGCTTCCCATGTCCCAGGCCACATTCCCACCGACTCATGCCACCCTGAGTGGCTCCAGGAGCCTCCCACACTGCCCCTCAAGCCTGACAGGCCCTTCCCTGGCAGCCCTCAGCCTCCTGGCGGCAGCAGGAGCTGCCGGAGTGCAAACGTGGCCATGAGGCTTGGGGCAGCAAGTGCCTGGCTGGCTCCCCCCTTGCAATCCTTCCTGCAAACCCCACAGCCACACCCTCTTCCAGACACAATTACACATCTCACAAATACCACACACACATCCACAGCTCCCCACATGCACCCACCCCCGCATACCCCCCCATACTGCTGTATACCCACACACTATATAAGAGTAAGACTACATTTTGGTCTATTATGCAATCACTTCCACATATAAAGCACAAACACACAGGTATCTGGACAAAAATATATATTTTAATTGAATTAAAATATAATATGGAAATTTGATTTTTAGTACATAATTTGTTTTTTTTTTGTTTGTTTGTTTGTTTGTTTTTTTCTTGGTTCTAAGATAGCAAAAACCCTCTTCTCCAAAGGATTACTTCCAGGCACAAGGGGAGGGACTTCTGGTGGCAAGGGTCAGGGGTGGGACTTCCAGTCCCAAGATGGTGACCTAGCGGGTGGGGCATCTGTCAAGGGGCGGGGTTACCCATGCGGCCCTCTGCCCAAAATGATGTCCCACCCCTGGACTACACTGTCAAGGTAGAGCTGAGATAAGCAAATACTATGGGTGAAATTCTGGCCCCTGTGAAGTCAGTGACAAAACTTCCACTGACTTCAGTGGGGCCAAGGGTTTACCACAGATGTATTGCAAACAAATTGCCTATCTGCCTACACATATGGCCATATACAGCATCTGTGGTAGCATGCAAAGATTTGACTGCTGCTTACATATACACTTAAACGCACCTAATTTTAAAAACCTAGCATTAAATAAAAAATATGAAGTCTAAAAGTACCATAGAACAACCTTTATACTGTTTCATGTTGCATTGTCTTATTTTTGTAGTGGAACTGCTTAGTTTTAGAGGCATAGCCTGGGGCTGGGGCTGTGCCTGGGGCAGCATTGGTTGCCCCTCTGTACTAATTGTGGTGGTGTGATCAGCTGCAGCCGTAGCTGTTTTTGGGTCCCCTCTCCCCGCAAGGCTGCTGCCGCAGTCATCTCCCCCCAGTTACACTAAAAGCTTAGCTTCTTTCACTTTTCAAATGTTGGCATTTTGTGAAATTGGTTTTGAAGAAGGGGCAGATGGGGTTGTATAAAAATGGATGCATTTTCAAGTGAACACTTTGAAAGTTTGCAGCTTTTTCCTGAAAATTGACCAGATTTACAAGACCACAGTGAAATGCACCGTTTGAGAATTTCATTGCACACATTTTACACCCAGTTATGTGGTAGAACCCTGATTCAGCATAGCATTGAAGTGTGTGATCAGCCTTAAGAATTTAAGTTTGTCCCTGCATGACATAGCGCTTAGGGATGTGCTTTGGTCCCACTGAGAGCATTTGCTTGAAGTTAAATAAGCACATGCCTTGGCCATGGTGAATAGGATGACTGTAAGCAGGTGCTTAAGTACTTTGCTGAATTGGGGCCTTACCTCAGTGATGCAGTGTTTCCACTGCAAATGCTGCAAAGAAGCTTTATTTAAACTAAAACTATTTTTAAATGTTTAATTTCATAGAGTCATGTATTAAAATTAAATTTTTGTATGTTTTTTAACGAACCTGATTTTCAAGCCTATCTTTGTATCCCTTTAAAGAATATTTTAAAAATTCTCCTAGCAGCATTTTAGTTACAGAACTTTGCAAAAGCAAACAAATGTAAGTTTGCCATCAGTTCATTATCCTCTTGTATGTTGGTTGCTAATATCCCATGATCTAGGCCTGCTCTATCATTTTAAAAGATGGGAAATCCCCATTGTCACAACTGTTTAATATACATATCCATATTGTAAAAACATCAGCCTACCTGTTGGCTAAGAAACTGTTACGTTCTATCATATGTGTAACCCTATTTAAAATTGTCCTGACAAATGTTTTGCACAAATTTGTCCCCTCAGTTCATACAACATATTCTTCTGGTCTTGATTAAATTCTGTTTTAATACCACTTAAAAGAAAATGTCAGTTAAGCCTCACAAAGTTATTAGAGGCATTAAGGAAAGTGATCAACAGTGCTGCAGCAGGAGGAATTATCAGGTCCCAGGGCTCCTGACCAGGTTTCTGAAGTGGAAATAGAATTGGTAAACCCAAGTGTAAATGAAAAGTAAAGGATGCTTTTTGGTTGGATTTCCAAAACAACCCTCATAAGGATTTTTGCAGCCAGGCTTTAAGTATATAGTTTGACTTCATATAGCCAAAGTCTCTCACTAGGAAACTGTGTTTTCAGATGAAAGTTCTCCCTTGTTTTTTTGATCATGTAGTCCTGTTCCAGGGAAACCCTTCAATGAAAGGTACTCCTTCCTCCAAAATCTCTGTCTGTAATTCACTTTTCCTTGTCTGATAAAGCAGTTGTCTACTTCTTCTATGTTCTCTTCAGGATACGCAGGTAATTTTAGCCAATCTTTTGCTTGGGGTTAGGGCTATTTTGCCTCTTCCTAACCTTGGTCAAGGATGGTATATCCAACTTGCTGTAGTTTCAGGTTAACGAAACCAGATGTTGAGATAATATGTTTGTTGTCTTAGAGTGAAGCGTTGCATATCAAAGGTGCAAAAACATTTTTCACAGTAGGTTAAAGAAAAGGAGCATATGCCTACACATTTTTGCCTTTTTTATACGTTTATCAAATCTCAACATTTTTGAGGTTTTTTTTTCACTTTGAACATTTTTTTTTTTGGTCCAGAAATATTGACAATTTCTATGAAGAGACTTCTGATGTGTCTTAAAGTGACAGAGGTGTCATAAATGACGCAGTAGTGGTTAGGTAGTTATTTTTAAACCCCAAACCTCAGATGTATTCTAGATCGATTAGAAAAGAAAATTACAAGTGTATTGAATGGAAACTAGCGTAAGATGAGTGAATATAGCATTATTCAAATTATATAATAAAATGTAATAAATTATTCAAAATGTAAGAATCTGAACTATTGGAATTTTAGTTCTTTTCTACTTTGGTTACACATTCAAACATATAATTTTACCTCAATACAAAAGTAGTTATGCATCCAAAT